ATTCTTTTGTCTATGATTTCGCCTTAACGTCGCTTTAGTTTCCCCTTAGCGACACTACTTTCGCCTTATGGTACTGTTTTTAACCACTTCATTGTTTTAGTTTCCCCCTATGGATACTTCTAAGCTCCTATATATATATATATATATATATCTGTATTGATATCTATTAATTATATAAAAACTGACACTAATTCCAAAAAATAAGTACATTTTTTCAGAACAAATTTTGCTTGGTTTACTATCGATCAAACAATTCTACATCATCATAAGCAAACCAGATGGAACTATTCAAATAACTGAAATACTGTTTGTAAAGGAGATCTATTCTTGTTCATCTGTAGAATGAATCAATTAAAATAATATTATGACTAGATATGAACACAGTAGCTATAAAGTATTTTATAGATGCAGCGGAGCAATAAATCCATCAAAACAAACCTGCTCAACCTAGAATCCTGACCTATTTATTAACTGTTAGTGACATAAATTTTGGTGAGCCGAGGTACCAAGGATTGATCGACTGATTGACTGATTAATTGTTGCCCTTTACATAATATTTATAAAGTTGAAATAAAAAATAATTAATATGAAGATTTTTATTACTATACTGCTTCGAATAGAAGCCCCGGGCTTCTTTCTTTTTTTTTGTGACTTTGGATGGACTTCTTTTTGATATGGGCTTCTTTTCAAGGTTACTTTGCAACCTTAAAAACCTTTTCAAAATGGATGCTGTAAAAGAGGGGCCTTCAATTTGAGATGGGCTTCTTTTGGAGATTAAGCCCACTGGGCTTCTATTCAAGGTTTATGGTATACTTTATTTTAATACAAAGACTCTCAAATCACCCATGGGTGCTTTTTATCATGGTAATGCGAGGCCATGCATAATAAAAGGAAACAAATGATTGAAAACATAATTAATTAAAGAAAAATACAAATACACACCATCTTAACTACTACCAGTGAAACTATCCCCTGCAGGACACCAACCTGGTATTTCTATGTTTCAGGTACAGCAAACAGAAGCTATAAAGTAGACATTGTTATTATTTGATAGTTTAATACTTATCATTTTTACAAGCTGGAAGCCTGGTACATATGACACCACATGGTTGACATGATTGAATTATTTTCAATAAGGAAATTTCACATATGTTAGTTCATCTAGTGTATTCATAAAATAGACATAAAATGATAAAAACTAGAGCAGTCCACTCCATAGAGTGCATACCTCTACCCTGTGAAATGTTTCCAAATTTCTGAGACCCTGACATTTCCCTTTGACCTTTACATCCCAAAACTCCACTAAATGTATGAGGATACATATATTAGTTATTGTATAACACTACTAAAAACAGACAGAATACATAACCTCCTTGACAGAGGTAACAGAAATAGAAAATATAGTCTAATGATGAATAGACGTGAAACTAAACTAGAACTGCATAATTAATTATTTATATGTACAATGTCATAACCTAAATTACAAAGACCATGTAAATGTAATGAATCAGAAAAAAATATTCATGGACTTAATAATAGATCTTCTGTTAAACTTAGAAAGTTAAATTTTGCCAAGGCTCAGTGTTCTTATTTTTTGGCCGATTTCAGGTTCAAAATGTTCTTATTTTGTTCTTACAGGTATGTTACACACTTTTTAAACATAGAAAATTATTGTACAGCAGTATACACTGTACTGGAATGTAGGTAAAAGTGGCCCTGGAAAAAATAGCCCCAGAAAAAAAAGGCCCCGTAGGCGCCGGTAAAATGGCCCCAAATGAGGTACACCTATATACTGTACTGTATTATCAGGCCTGTATCCAGGGGGGGTTTTTATAGTTCGGGAGAACCCCCTTTTCTAGCAAACCCCCACTCTTTTCTGGCGAAACCCCCTCTTTTAATTTCCCAATTAAGTCCTCCAACCCAACTAATGCACTAATGCAGGCCCACCCAGACACAGACATTTTCAAACATATCTGCTTTTATAGCATTATTTAGACCCAAGCAAAAAAATCCTCTTCCTTTGGGGGTTTCGCCGACCCCACCGGGACTTCGACTGTGGACCTCACCTCAGAAAATCCCCCTTTGGAAGGACCTGGCTACGGGCCTAATTATATAGGGTAGGTAGTTAAAAAAAAAAATCTCATTTGACATTTTACCTCAGCCTCAATTTGTTCTTATTTTGTTTTTAATTTTTCAGCAATTTCAGCCTCAGTATTCTTATAAAATGTGTTCTTATAAAAAAAATGTGTACATGAATCTGAGTTATACTTTTGATTTATTTTCTGTAATTGCCTATGGAAACCAACAAACATTACTGACTTTAAATACAATGTAGAACATTAAGGTTACAAAACATTCTACTGACATCTTTAATTTGCAAACAAAAGAAATGATTTGGATAATTTCATTTCATTATGGTTAGTCTCTGTTGTTATGACTACAGATCTGGCACAATTATTATCGTCATCATGCATCAAAAAATTTAACTTTACTCATTACAAACACTAACATATTATTTACAAATGTTTAGTTTTATACACTTGATATTAGTATATATTTTTGCATGTGTTCATTTTCAAATATTTTGAAACGTAAAAGTGATAAATCACATATAATAGGCTACATAATACCACATACACTGCAAGCACATACTAGTAATGTATTATAACTATAACTAGTAATGCAAATACCACTTCACTATAACAGAATTGATCTTATCAGGTGACAAAAACTGATATACCACATATTCTCATGTATAAGACGGGGCTTAAAATAGCAAATTACGAAAAAAAAACCCCAAAAAACAGCAGGTCGTCTTGTATGCACAATACATACAAATTTGGGATTTTAACCAGTCAGATGCAGTATGGTGACTGTAAAAACAGAAAAGATTAGAAATACAGAAGATGAAACTGGGAGTTTTTCTTATACGCCTGACATACAAAAACAAAAAAAATCTTTTCAAACTCAAGGGGAGGGGGGTTGTCTTACACACGGATCACCTTATATGCAAGAATACATGGTAATATCCATCTTGAATACCCAACCACTCCCACATAACCACAACATGTCGCACCAAAATCTTGTACTCAAAAGAGACAGAAAACAAACTATTGAACTCTTTTAAGTTAAGTTGGAACTTAAATTAAATGTCAATGCTGGTAATTATTGGTTGCATGATTTGCTTGCAATGCTCATTGTTCAAAGTGGCAAATCGTTTGACAGTACCTTCAAAGTTAGCCTACAATAATAATGATAATATCTTATACACTGCATATGGCATTTAAATGCCAAGGCCTTATGCACTGACCATCTCAGTAATTGTATTCATAAAATATGGATTTCAATTTAAAGAACTTATAAAGAAAAAATATTTATCGATTCTCTTATATATCTCAGTATCTTTTTTCAAAATTTAAAAAAAAAATAAAATCAAGTTGGCAAAATAGAGTTCTTAGCAGCTAAAAGCTGAATTGGGGACTCTTCACAAACAGCCAATGGGAAACATCAATTCAAAAAATTCAAACCTACCGGTAAGTCAAATACAAAAATAGATTAAACCCTATTCAAATACAAATATATAAAATTACCCAAGTCAAATACAAAAAATACATGTTTAATAAACCCCAACAAAAGCCTACACACTATGTGGCTTTTGGATACCTGTATGGAAATATAGTTTTTTTATGTTTGTTAACTAACTGTATATTTGTTTTTTGAGTACAAACAATAATTGAATGAATAAATGAAAGAAAGAACTACTTGAACATTCTGGTACAGAAATATTGTACTAAAATCAGTGGTAATAATTTTGAGTTGAGATACTTTGTGAGTTGGGTAACCACAACCATGATTTGAACCTAGGGCTTCTTCTACACATGCAGACACCTTAACCAGCTCTACCACTGGGGCTTTTGTTGGAAATGAGAATCTGACTGGACTGTAGAGGAAACCGATTTCATAATCCTAATCTATGCGGGTACAACAACACTCATTAGTGGAACAAAGATTAAATTGAAGTATTTTAAACGGCAAGTCAGGATCGGCAATGAGAT